TTATTCATTTGACATGAAAATAAAGTCATACTGAATAAATTACAATCTAATGGACGTCTTTGTTGTGATTCTCGATATGTTAAATTCATCATACCACTTAAAACAAGTGCATTCGATTGAGAATTATTTGTTGTTTGTACAAGTAGAAGTTCTGATTGATTAAAATTTAAACGTAATTCAAAAAGTTTTTTTGTTTCAACTGGTATTGTCATAGATTGAATTGGATTTGTTTGTTGTGGAATTTGTTGAAATGAATTAAGAAAATCTTTTAATTTAAGTAACCAATCAATAATAAATAATATTCTTGTATGATTTAATACAATTGTATATTTATCATCAGTTTTTGATGTAAATAAATGTATTTCTAATTGCATTTGACTTTTACTTGTTGCCATTGATGATGATGATGTAAGTATATCACGAAATTGATTTGTATTCTCAATTCGTGTATCAGTTAATTTAATCGATGAACATGTTAAATCAAGTACTTGATTATTATTTGAATATTTTTCAAATGAAAAATTTGATTTTAAAAATGCACAATAACCTAATGAATAACGTTTAGAATCATTTGGAATAAATATTTCAAAACCAACATTATCCATTTGAATTATAAATATCATATCAATATAAACATTACCAGTTAAGATTGTTGATACACATAATGGATCATCAATCATCATTGCTGGTCGTGTTGGTTGTTCTAATTGTTCACCAATATTATATGCAAGTATACCACGAATAAGTGAATATTGATATGTATCAAGAAGTATATCAATTGAGAAAAGATCAGCTTTAATACTATATGTTGGTGATGAATGATTTAATGAACTATCAAGATTACGTTCAATATGAATATTAAAATAACAACGTTCACGTAACATTGATGATATATCATCACGTATTGTATGAAAACCAAAATTAGTAAATTTAACTGTAGGTTTTATATTTGTATCTAATTTACAATAAGTAGCTGAATAAAGTAATGTATCTTGAAATTGAACAGATATAACATCAAGTAAACAATTTGATTCTTTTGGTTTATTCAGAATTGAACTTAATGTATCTGGTTCATTATCGAAAAGAAAACGATTTTTTATAATTATATTTCCAAGATGAAGAATAATAACAGGTTTATTAAGTGCATATTCAGGTAAAATCAATATTGGACTTTCAGCTTCAATATCAAGTTCAATACCTGTTGATCGTCCAGCTGAACATGATATAGTTTGTCCAGCTGCTGCTGATCTTATACGATTATAACAATCTTGATCATGTTGAAACCGATCAAAAAAATGAATAAGATCCATTAGAAAACGTTGTGTATGAATATATTGAACGGATGTCATACGCAAATAAAGTTGTAAACGTGATGGAAAATTGGATGAACTTATTGGTATAAGATCTTCTTCTTTTGTATATGTAAATAAAAGTGCATTTGTACCACTTGTACAAAAACGTTCTTCATATAATTGACCAAATAATGATAAGTCATGAATTGAAACCGAACCAAGTTTACCATTGATAATAAGTGTTTTTATGGCTTTTTCAATTGTAAGAAAATTTTGAATTTGACAATCGAAACGTTGAAGTGAAATATTTATTGGTGGAATATGATCATCTTGTAGAAGACAAGATACAGCATCAATATGAATGTTTATTTGCATAAAATCAGTATCGGATGTTGAAGTAAATTCTTTATTTTCTCGAATATCTAAATAAATTCGAATTTAATATAAGAAAACACTTCTTTTTTTTTTCTTCGTTTACCTGTAGTTGTTGATGATGGTGTACCTCCAATTAAACCAATAATATCAAATAACATAACCCATGTTGAAATAATAAATTTAATATTAACTTCACCAAATTGTGCATCGGCAATAATATTAAATCCATTGTAATTTTCATGTTTTTTATCCATTAATGTTATATTTATATCAATAAATGATGGTGTTGTTGATATTGTAGCTGTTCTTATCGATGATGTTGATGATGCTAATGTCCATGTTGAACTATTCGTTGATTCCATATATGCCGGTACGGAATTTGAAGCATAATCATCATGTATTTGATATTTTTCTATTGGAACTGATGATGACATCATATGATCATTACGAAAATAATTTGACGATGAATTTTTTCGACAACGTGTTGAAAAAAGACATTCATCAACTTTAATTAAATTATCATTAATATGTAGCGAATTAAGTTGAAGTGAAATATTTTTACAAAATGGATGTAATTGTTCAATTGACATATGAAATTGTCCAAAACTTGCTTCACATACTTTGGTTGGTTTTAAATCTAAATCAGATTGAAATGCAAGAATTAATTCTGGTAATTGAAAATGTATTGCAAATGTTTTAAATTTTGTTTGTGTTGTTGTTTCATTTAATGGAAGATTTATTTCTTCTTCATCAAATAATAATAATGATTCTTCATCTGTCATATTTGTATTTGGTGTATCGATTTGATCATTTTCATTGTATGTCAATGAACTAATTATATTTTGTAATAATGTTATTTGATGTTTACCAAGAAACATTTGAACAGATGAAACTAATTTTGAATCGATTGTTGTTGATGTATCAGTTAATTTAAGATTAAGATGAATAGATATATTATCAAGTATAGGTAATGGTGAACGAGGATTTTTATACATTCGTATAAGATTTACTCCTTGACTTTGACGAAATTCATGTTCAAGATCAACAGAAAATAAATTCAGATCATTAATTTTTATTTCATAAATTGATGAATGATTTTCAGAATTTTCAACATGAATATCACCGAGATGAAAGACAAGTCGAGCATTTGTTGAAACTGATTTTGATTGAGGACGAAAAATTAAAATTGGTGTAGCAAGAACGATACTTAAATTTAATTGACGAGTTGGTTCTACAGTTTCGAAAACTAAATTAAATTAAGAAATACAAGTTTTTATTAATAACATACATCATAAATCAAAAACAAGCTGATCTGAATTATTTTCAATTTTTTACTTGACCTCGATCTTAAAAATATATTGATGGCTAGAATCAGTCAATTGAAAGTATTTTCGAATAGAATGAATATAAATAAAGTGTCTAGTAAACTGTGTAAATGCTTTCTAAGTATCTGATTTGTTTTTGTTATGTTTATTCATCCAAAAAATCGATATTCTCTTATATTAATTTAGAACGTAAAAATAAATATCGACATATCAAACTTTATTATTCAGCTATTAGATTCGTTGTTTTAGTTTGAAAGAACAAGTATGTTTTTCATTTAGTTCATTGATACTATTTGAAAACTTATCGTAATTAATAATATTATAAAATCAATACGAAAACTATATTCTTTAAAATCCAATGTAAGTCACAATATGGATTTAGTAAAAAAATAAAATTGAAAAAAAAATGTTAGTTTACAAACTATTGCACAAGAACGTTAAAAAATTTGTTAGATAAAGCCTTTCGATAATTGTATAAATATTCATTCTGAGAAACAGCAAAACAAAAAAGACTAACTCAGCATTGTATAGCTGAGAAATAATGGTTAATATATCAACAGTTGACTATTATCTTATATAATAAAATCTGATATTTCTTCATAATCTTACTAGATTCATTTGGATGAACATATTGATTAAGTAATATAGATCCTTGTTTAATCATATTTTGTTTCATTTTTTCCATTTCAATAGCTATTTTTGAATGACAATGTTGAGCCATATAATTAAGAATTGTTTCAATTTTAAAAATAATTTTTGGTGAATGTGTATAACAAACTGACGCCATTTCAATAACTAAATCTTCAACACCATTATTATTATCTGTATATACAAGATGAAATGCTTTACTAGGTAAAACTTTCTCTTGATTCGTATATTTTTTATCTTCAATTCCAAAATCAATAATTGCACTTGATTGTTCATTATGTGTTATAATTGATGTATCATGTAAAAGATTAAATATTTGTAAAGCACATATTTCAGCTTCAATCATTGTTGATGGTTCAAGAAAAATATTACATGATGCTTGTTTTATTCTAGCTGCAGCTATTTTTTCAAGTTTAGTTCCCAAAACTCTTCTACCTATAGATTTTATTGTGATAACATTTGTAAATAAAATACTTAATTCTTGAAATTCACTATTGATTTGAAATCTTGTTGTTCTTTTCTTTTCAATTCTTGTTACTATTTCATTTTCTTCTTTAATATTATTTTGTCGAAGAAGTGTTTTCATACGATAAATAATATTAACAAAAAAATTTGTTAATATTGATAATGTTTCAGGATTAAATAGAAAATGTAATTTATTAACATGTATATCAACTGTCAAACAATTTTCATTTGTTTGTAAATCAGTTGCTGATTGTATATTAACACGTATTAAATATTCATCTTCAATATTTGATAAATATTTATTTGATTCATATAATGTACCTGTTTGAGTATTTATATCTAATGCACGATTACTTGTTAATATTAATTCATAATCTTTTCCATGATTTTGTAAAGCATCAATAATCATTAATGTATGTACACTAAATGAAACAATATTTGAATGAATATGATTCATTAATGTTAAATCAATATTTTGTATACGTATTTCTGTCAATGCACGTAAATCATCACTTAATTGTATACTGATTTCATTAATACGAAAACCAAGTGCTAAACGTGCACTTAATTCATCAATAGTCTTTTTATTTGTTGTTATATCAGATTGTGATACAATTGATGAAGTTAAATTTTCAATAAATGATCCCCAATTATTAATTGTACCACATAATATTTCAATACAAGATGGATCAAGATGTATAATTACTTTTGGTAATGTACCTGAAACTTTTATTAATGGCCATAATGGATCAAATGTTTGTACTGTTCGATATTGAATTAAAAAACAAACACCAAATTTTTCAATAATTGATGAAAGATTATTTTTTGATTGATTATCTGTATAAGTTAAATAGCCAAGTTGCATATCACATAATGATAATGAAAATGATGAATATATAAGATCTTTTGTGTCATTTGTAGGAGATAAACTTTGTTCTCTTGGAATGATATTAACGGGATAATTTGTTGTTTCGGTTTCAAGTAAACCATCAGTTGCTAATGGTGAACTGTCAGGTGTTAAAAATTCTTCATCATCATCTTCAATAATTGCTGATGAAACAGGTGATGTGCGTTGTTCATTGAAAAAATATGGACGTTGTTGAAAATAATTTGTTATTGGTGATGGTGATGTTGAACCCGTATTATGCATATCACAGTTTTTTAATGGACACGAAGATTTTTTATATTCATCATTGATAAATGTTAAATAACCAAAATCAATAATTAGAGCACGATCCGATGATTGAGGAATAATCATTTGTGGTGCACAAATATCAAGATAGATATCAAATCTCTTTTTATATCTTCTTTGACCTTGTTTGATATGTTTTACATTTGATGAAGTCATTTTAGTTGATGTTATTGGAGAAAAGATTTGATCAATGGCAGATTTTAATTGTTTAGTTGTACGTTCTTTTAATTGTGTCCAATGTTGAAGAATTGATGATGATGATGTTGGTATTGATGATGGTTCAGTAAATGCAGATGAGAAATAATTACGTAGACGTTCAACGGATATAGGACAACAAACAAAACAAAGACCACGACTACGAATAGCAATGGCAAATGAAAGTCGTTTTGTTTTTGATTCTCGTCCTGGAACATTTGTTTCATATGATAATTCAAAAACTGGAGCACGTTGTGCACCAACAGATGAACTAAATCAAATAAAATCATTAATAGAAAAAAAATGAATTTATTTTCAAATTTATAATCAATATTTATAGAATCAAAATTTTCAAGAGGCACAGTTAATCATACAGAAATCTATTTAGTTCTTGTACATGGCTAAGAAAAGGAAATTAGCATTTGATAACTTTCGTCAGTTGGCGAATGTCCAGTGTGGGTTCACAACTCTATAAAAACTGTATCATAACGATCTTTATACACTTTAAGCCTTCTAGCTAAAGAGTTTAAAATCGAAAAGATCCAGACGCTTGGCTATAACTTCGAAAGCCATAGCAAAATTGGAGTCTTGTAAGAACTATCATGAGATCTTTGTTTTCGAGAGTAATATAACCTGTCGATTACAAAAAGCTCTACGGATCACATTGATATCTGAAGGCAACAAGCTGTATTCTGACACTTATATATGTCCTGCATTCATATTTTTTTGAAAATAATTATCATAGTTCATCGATTCTTTGACAGATGGCGAAACTCCGATTCAACGAATATTATGAAATATTATTAAAATAATTTACTCTTGTGATCGTTGTTTTGGACAAACAATATTTGAAAATGCATCTGTTCTTAATCGATCACAAATATTTAAATCATCTAATCGTAAATAAAATAATATTGATTGATGTCTTGGTCTTAATTCCGTTAATACAGATACATTATTCAATGAAAAATTAAAAAGGATTTCATCATTCGATGATAAATCAATTTGAACAGATTTCAATACAAATTTTAAACGTAAATATAAAGCATCTCGACGATGTTGTGATAGATCTTCATCTTCTAATGATTGTGCTATAAAAGTATTGACTTGTTCTTGTAATTTTTCATCATTTTCATTCAATGGTATTATAGGTGTTGTACTTGAAATAATTGCTTGATTGATATCAGTCGGTGTTGTTGTTTTCCATAGATCAACTGTTTTTGAACTTATCCATTTAGCATAACTCATATACCATGACCCAGTTGCATCATTATTTGCTGTTTGATTTTGATTATTAACTAAACTAAATTTTTCATTAGCACGTTTACGAAATATAACTCGACGAATTCGAATTAAACAATCAAGATTAAAATCCATTTCAATTTCATTCATAATTAATCGATCTGCTTGAGTAAAATTATTTATTGTTGAACGTTTTAAATATTTATTATCAAGATATAAACGATATAAACGTTTATATGTTATTAATTGTGTTAAACGTTTGTTTAATATATTTGAATTAAACCAAAAATTTGTTGTTGTATGTGTTTGTTCATTTGAAACAGGTGTTTTTAAATAATTTTGGGTTCGTATAAGAACTAAAGTTATATATCGCCACCATAATTTAGCTGATTGTTTAGATATTTTCATATGTGGTCGACTTGGATCAGTTATAAATTTTCTATGTGTATTTGAATATTGTATAAAACGAGTAACATCAGATAAAACTTTAATATGTTCAATACTTGATTTTAAACTTAAATCATCAAATGTCCATTCAAGTTCATAACGTGGTTGTCGACGATTAACTAATGCTGAACGTAAATAATTATGTGTTAAATAAATTTTTATTGAATTTGATGGTAATAAAATATATGAATGAACAGATGATGATGATGATTGATCTTTATTCGTATTTGTATCAGCATAAAGAGCAAGATTATGTATTTGAAAAATTTTCCTATTCATATTTTCATTGGATAATTCATTTGATATTTGAATATTATCAAATGATAATCCAACTGTATAAGGTGTATTATCAGATGTAAAACTTTCATAACTAATATGTACATCAATAATTTGTACTTGAATTTTTTCTAAAAATGATAATATTAAACGTTTTAAACTCCATGATGATGATTTAACTTCTCCAAGAAATTCAAATTCTTTTTCTAATTGTTGTTCAGATAAATCTAAATGATTTTGTTTTTTTAATATTTCATCTTCTTCAATTAATTCTTCTGTTTGATTATCATTATCATCAAGAATAATTGGTTTTATAATAGCACGTACATGTTCAACTTTAATAATAAATGCTGCTGATGATGAACGAAAAAATAATGAACTCCAGACAAATGAACATTGAATTTTACCAACATGTAAAGATTCAATTTCAATAGGTAATTTTAATTTTGTTCGAATATCATTATTAAGTTCAGTTTTATTAAATGTTAAATTTTCAACAACAATAGGTCGACCATAAAGTAATTGAACAGATAATTGATCAGCATTTATATCAACATAACGAGCAACATAACCTTTCAATAATGAGGCTATAACTGCTTCAAACATGCGAAGAAATTAAATAAATTAATCCAAAAGTTTTATCTACAATATGTAGACCATATATATTTTCACTATGTGATGTTTTTTTTTAAATATCAATAAGAATACATATATATTCAGAAAAGCAAACTATATGTTTATTTATTCATATTAATAGGATAAACGAACAATATAAAGAGATATAAGACAATATATATATATATATATATGTAAGTCAAGTGTAAAAGGCACTTGTTTTTTTTTCAAAAAAAAACCTGAGAAGAAATCTGATTACATAAACACACACAAAGATATATATATTACACAAAAACTGACAACAAAATGGACTTATACATCTGACAAAAAACGAATACCCATATTCGTTGGAAGATTCAATTCACACAGATCTACTCATAGCAATAACAATATATGTATAAAAACCAAAACAACAACAAAAAGTTGATTTTCAATCAACACACTATAGTACAACAAAAAAAAAGAGAATGCATTCTATTAAGGACATTAAATTATATTTCATTATATTATTTAGCCTTGATTGAGTTTTGATATTTCAATTTCTTCACGAATTGCTTCTTCATAATCGCGTAATTTTCTACCATCTTTTATATGAGCATAATTAGCCACAAGACAACAAAGAAAATGAATCTAAAATAATATTAAATGTAATGTCTATTTTACACAAGCAAATATTTATATTCTTACCAAACCCATAACAACAAAAAATGAACCAATTAAAGCTGCTAAATATTGTGGCGTATATTCTGTCTATAAGAAAAACAAAATCATTTTCTATACATATTTTATCAAAAAAAAAACAATTCTTACCAATGTACATAATTCATTAAATCGTTGTTGACAAACTTTTGCATCAGGTTTTTGTTTTGGTACAGGAATTCCATATGTTCCTGGTGTAAGACATAATGCCGGTGAAGCCGTATTTGGCCAATCAGATGGTGTTGGTACTGCCCATGCTTCTATACAACGATGTTTAAGAATATATAAACCAATACATGGTACAACTAAAGATAACATTGCAAATAACCAAATAAGTAATAGACCATAGACAATCATAGAAAACTAAAATATATTTTTCATTGAATTTTATTTTATCATCATTTTTTATTGACTAAAACTTACGAAACCCGTTGCAATACGACCTCCAAGACGAGAACGAAATCCTGTATAAATTTGATGACGTGTAGCACCTGTAGCTAATGATCCAACGATAAGTAAAATCATTGAAAAACCACCCATGATTGCCAAAACAAAAATAACAGCTAGACGTAAAATTCGAATCCTTTATAAATAACAAAACAAATCAATAGATTTAGTTTTTTTTTTTATTTAATAATTTACCAATCATGATCGATATATTCTATTTCAAATACATTATTAATATGTTCAATTGTTGCTCGTAATGGATAATAAAGACATCCACAACAAATACCTGTACCCGTTAATGTTAAAATAAATGCAAGTAATGATGCAAATGGACAATTTCCACAACAACGAAGAAAACCTATATGAAAAATTTTGTAAGAATATTTCTCAAACTATTCAAATCATATAAACTTACTATTTTGCTTATATTTTACATCCGACATTGTTCGTTCTGACCAAAGTTCTCTACTTCTATCAGCAAAACGGCTCACATCACCTATTAACAAAGCAAATAAAACAAGAATAAATAATTTATTTTAATACATACGATCATGAACCACCATATTACAAGAATCAAATTTCAAAAAAAAGAAAAGGAATTGAGTGGTAGACACGAACAAAAAGATCTGATTATATCACCGAAAGAATCAAACGAACGAATGTTGACAGATAGACAGACTGAGTAAACAAGCAATCACATAAGCGTGCACATACAGAAAGACAAAGAATGTCATTGGTGGAATTTTCCATCCACTGAAATTCGATGTAATTTCAGACGCGCTCGCTCTATATTTTTCTTATAGAGACGCTACAGTTGTTATCTGACAAAAAAAAATATTCTTGGCGACAAGCTTATAAAGACGTTGTCGTCATTATTCATCATTCTTTGCTTTTTTTTTCGGAATTGGATCGTATATATCCATTGAAAATCTATCAATGGACGATTCAATAATAATAAACAATGATGATGATAATGACACAACCGATCGTTCAGATGAAATAGTTACTGATATGATCTCATTAATACATTCGACAACACATTCAAGTTATGTTACATGTTCTCAATTATCATCGAAATTAATTTCATATTTATCTCAAATACGTTTTAATGATAATCAATGGAATGATCTTGAAAAAGCTGTTGAAGTAATTTTATTTTTTATTAATTGAATAAATTTTATCGAAAATTATTTTTACAGCGTTTTGATCAAAGTGATGATCATCCAGATCTTCGTCGTTTTCGACAATTAATTGAAACAATTAGTACCTGTTCCAATGATTGCGAAGAACGAAATTATACATTAGGACGAGATGCCAATGCACTTTTTGAAAGTATTTGTCAATTACAAGAGTTATTGGTAAGAAAAAAAAGGAAATAACAAAAAAATATTTTTTTAATTAAAAAAACATAAATTTATAAGAGCTTGAAAGACTTGTCACAATAGGTAGGTAATTGAGATAATCCACTGTCTGTAAGATCTATTTCCGGCAAATAACCACATACAGGATTTCTAATCCAATAGATGCATACTTCTTCTTCTTTTTCTATAGAACAAGGCCTCAAAGGGAATTAGTTTTTCTTGTTTAAGTCTATCGTACACGTCATAATAAATAAGATTTTGTTTCGAAGAATGATCACGAGAGTGTTCTTTACTTACTATGTTTTAGAATAAAAATTGTTTGAGGTGACTAATATCTATTATTATATTAATTAATAATACAAAAATTTGATTTGTCGTCCTATACAATCTATAAAAAAACTTATAATAAAATCTTGCTAATTTTATTTTCTAGCAATCTCATGTGAATCTCAATTGTACTTTACTTTCGAAAGTAATTCAACAGAAAGACATACGATTACTTTTAGCCGATCTAATGAATTTGACTGGAATGGTTAGTCATTAATTTTACTTTTATTTCAAATTAGAAACTAATTTTTGTTTGTGCGATTAGAATGTTGGTCATCAAATACATGGTATTCTATGTAATATAGTACATCTTCTATGTCAAATTGATCAAATGTTTTCCATATCAAATGTAATTGATCATCCAATAGTATCAAATTGTATTCGAATCATTCAAACAAGTATTAATAATATTTGTTCCACAGGTGTTTAAATATAATGCATGTGTATGTAGCCGCTTTTGTTAATGTTTCTTTTGTATATCGCTCATGCTTAATAATTCATATTTTCTCACCATGCAACTGCTTATATTATGAATAGAATTAATATAAAAAAATTTTAGGTGAAAACACAAAATCGACGGTGATTTCTGCTCTTCGTCTTCTTACAGATTTACTTCTAACAAATGAACCATTTCCGGTGCATAGTTACGGTAAAATAATTTTGTAATTATTTATTTATTTATTTATTTCATTATTTATTTAGGTCAATTATCAAATTGTGTATTTTTAAAAAGTATATTTGATTTAATTGAAAATAATGGTGAAGATGATGAATTAGTATTAACATTAATTAAATTTATTTTATCACTTAATTTACGTTTTGATTATCCACATGAAAATCCAATAATGTTAACATTAGTAGCTGTTAATGAACAAATATCATGTAGAGAATTAATCGAACGATTAATTTTATTATTTAATCGAAGTGGTAGGAGAGAAAATATATATATCTATAAATTGTATTATTTATTTTCTTCTTCTTCTTATACCAAATAGTTGATCCAATTGAATGTAAAACGATGAACTCAGTTATTAAATTCTTCAAGGATCTATTCGGTGATGGAGGAACAACTAGTGATGCACTTTTATTTGATTCCGATCGACGTTTAATTGTTGAAATAATTAGTAGAGAATTAGCAGATCGTTCAATAACAGATGAAGTAAAATATATATTTTGATTAACATATATGTTATATCTTTTGTTTAGAGAACAACCGAGTATTTATTTTTATTAGAATTAATATTTCGTAGTCGATCAATAACTTCTGAAACTTGTACACGTATTGATGATCTTCAAACAAGTTTTCGAGCACATCTCTATGCAGAAAATTGTTTAAAAGAAAATCGACTTATTATTAACGAAATTCTTCGACAACATAATTGGTTAACGACGAATGACATGCCATTTTATCTTTAAAATATATTTTAATATCTATTCATCTATATCTAAATGTGTGTATGCGTGTGTGTTTTTTTTCCTAGCTGACAGAGATAACATAAGTTTTGACTATTAGATAAATAAATAAAATATATATATTTGTAATTGTAGATTTAGAAATAAATATATTCAATGCCAGGATTAACATCAAATGATACTGTACAACAGACAACAGATGAAAAACCAAAATCACAGGAACAGATAGATTTAGAAGAAGCTGAAACAGCATTAGCTGGAAAAGATTATAAAACTGCTCGTAGTTTATTGGAAAAATTAGTTCAATTGGAAACAAAAATTGATGATGAAGAATCAGCACGAATTAAAGAATCAGCAATACTTTCTCTTGGAAAACTTTTCAAAGAAATAAAAGATGCAAAAGGTATAGAAAAATGAATTCATTTTTATTCTCAGAGAGACAACTTATACAATTATTTTATAGCATTGGCAGCTCTAATTAAAACTACTCGACCATTTCTTGGTCTTGTTAGTAAAGCTAAAGCAGCTAAACTTGTACGAACACTTGTTGATTTATTTCTTGACATGGAAGCTGGTACCGGTGATGAAGTAAGACATCATTTTTTATTTTAATTAAATCTTATAATATATAACATAATCGAATTTAGGTTTCATTATGTCAAGAAAATATTGAATGGGCTAAAAGTGAAAATCGAACATTTCTTCGACAAGAACTTGAAGTAAAAACATAATAATATTTAATGA